GAAAATCTAGGGGACTTTCAAGGAAGGATATATGATTGTTTAAACAGTCAGGAATTTTGTCAGTGATAGAGGTGAGCAGTACAGCAGCCACAGATGCCAAATTAATGGTGGTGCTAGTCAAAGTGCTGCATAATCGACAAGGGACTAAGAAGCTGCCTGCAGCAATTGTTGTAAGTTCTCTGATGTTTGAAAGCAGCTGATCATTGCTGAATACTGCTTGGTAAGAGAAAGCAAATGCAACTTGTCAACATGACTGCCATATGGAGACCTCTATCCCAGGATCTTACTGCAGACCAACTGCTGCACAGCAATTTGACTGAAAGGAGCCCCGAAGAAAAGGCTGTCTTGATAAGAATCCTAAGTTTTGTTCTTCATACCTACAACTACAGTATACTTAGCAAATTATTTTGCCCAGACTTGTCTGGCCTTATACCTCTCTGCATGCTAGTTAGAAAAGGAGGGTGGGGAAAGTGGTTGTGAGCTATTTCTGCCTCTTGGCTGCTGTCAACATGTGATGGGAGCAGCCAAGTTTCGGTGCTGAGCATTTAACAGGCAGCAGACATAGCTGCTGCTCCAGGCCCTGTGCATGCAGGAGCAGTTCAGCTGTACATGTCTGATCTGGAGACAGCAGTGGCCAGGAAATGCCAGTCGTTGCTGGACAGGGCATCTTAAATGACAAGTTATTTGCAATGTGTGTTGATCCACCTTCAGAGAGCAGCTCTGCAACTGATGGGAAGTGCACACTGCAGCCACCTGCTGTTTGGCACTGCCTGCTGCAGCTGCACTTCCTACAAGTGACTGCTTGAGAATTAAGTACCTTCTGACATCTGCACCAGCTTACAGCAATAAGGTCTGTCAGGCTGCTCCTCTCTCACGCTGTTTTTCCTTAAAGTCTCTTCAAGGCTTATTCTTCACAGCCTTCAGTACACCGGAAAACAGTATGGTTGTATGCATGCATGGAGAGAGGAAAGGGGGTTGACATATTGAAGATAATTAACATGAAGTAGAACTAGACAAGAGGGAAAAAAAATAGGTAATTTGCCTATGAATGATACTCGTTCAAGTGCCAGTCACTGGTAAGAGGCAGACATTTCTTGAAGCAAGGCACTTCAAAAGATAACTTACTTTGAAACATTTTCCAGACCTGTTGTGACAATTTAAGACAAATTGTGTCATTTTTCCCTCTACAGCTACAATTAAAATCGCTATTGAGTTTCCAGCAACACCCAGGAAGTCTCACACCATACTTGAGTATGTCCATGATCCTTCCATTCTGCTTTTTGATCCCCATTTGCTGAGGCTCAAACTCATCTTTGCCTTCATAGAGGAAAAAATACTTGCCTGACAGAATTTCACATACTAGCAATTTAGATTCCTGAAGGATAGTGTCATCAATATACTCCATATTATACACTCCTTCATTTCCTTCTCTGCTTGGAGGTCACTGACTCACAGCAGTGTAAAGGTCTGTATCCTTCACTTGTCATTACCTTGGTCACCTATGAAACAAGAAGCCACTCTTGCCAGAGACTGGCAAATAAAGGAAGATAACAATAATAAAGCCTTTGCACACAACCATATGACAGTTGTGCTCACAGAATACTTTCTTTTACTTCTTAAGAAGGGAGATAAGTAACAGCTACCTTGCTTCTTACTGGTTTTACTTATTTCTGTCCAGGTAAATTTGAACCCTGCAAAACTGTGCGTTTCTCTTCCCCTCTCACAAGGCATTAAAAAGGAAACAGATGCCAGAAGCATCCAGTAGCAGGTGGTTGAAAAGTTTTCTCCAAAATAGGAAACTGCTTTTTAAAGGGATTTTAAATCTGTAATCATTGAAGCTCGATACAGTGTGTTTCATGGAGCTTCACATGTCTGCCTCAACGTTTACTGATAACACCTCTCTTACTTTGAAAATGGAGCCAAAGTACATTAATCACTGCCTAAGATAAAATCTCTGAGATGGTCAATAGAAACAATATTTTCATACTTAAATTTCAAACTTAAGCCTTTGCTTCGAACCAAGAAGCAGGTTTTTTTTTTGTTTTTTTTTTTTTTTTTTTTTTGAGCTTAAATTTGGGTACCAGGTTAATTAAAGGCTAAAGAATTCATCTATTGGAAAGCGAGACAGATTTATGAATTTCATTACTTTTTTTATTCAACAAGGCAACGTGGTTACACTTGTATTTTGCACAACACTTGAGAATTTACTTTCCATTAAGGATTCTTGGCAACATAATCCCTGATAACAGCTTGCTTTACAGCTATTCTATTTGATTCACAAAGGCTGCTCTCCTTTTAGCATTTAAACATTGCTATAGCCCAGCTTTTACTGGGCTGTAGATGGTTCTTATATTCACCTAATTGTAAGTAAGAAAAAAGTAAAAATTTGCTGTAATTAATTATTATTAAAAGCTACTACAGTGGTGAAAAATGAAGTCACCTGACTAAAGTACAAACAGGCTGGGATTCCTATTGATTGTGGTAGAAGTTGCAAACCAGTGTTCTACTGAGCCCACAAACAAAGTGTAACCATCATCAAAGAAAACTCTAACAACAAAAAAAATCTACAAAACTAGAAGAGCAATCCAGAAATTTTCAATTTGATACTCGAATGCCAAGCACTGGCCTGGCGCTATAACTCATGTACTGTAAAAATGTATTTTAACAAAGCAGTATTATTCTTCCCTACCACGCTAACTCACACTATGTTACAGACTGGAAAACTGCACCTTTTCCTCAGAGGAAGGTCTCTCCCTGATTAAGTAATGTAGACAAAGCATCTTGTGGATGCAAAATGTTGAATCAAATCTGCGCTGGTGGATAAAACCATTTCAGAAACTTTTCCAGAATGCAAAATATTCAGGTAAAATTAACACACACATTTTCTCCCTTATTTGACAGACTAAAATCCTTGGCGTGGCGTTTACATAATTTCCTTATGTTGAAGTGAGAAAAATATCCCAGCCTGATTACATATGTTCATGGGAAACACTCCTTGAAGAAGAAAGAAGGCTTGCAGCTGATGAACTGAAGACGTTAACCAAGGGAACTGCCAATTCAACTGCCAGTTGAAATGACAGCTCTGGGAGTGAGCAGATAACGCTGACATATTGTATCTACTCAGTAAAATATTTTCATACAAGAAAGCTGCCATGTTTCGAGCAAGCTCTACCTTTCCCTTGTAACTTAAAGTTCTGAACATCTGTGATCCTGAAGGCAGAATTTTCAGATGTATCTATTTAGGATCACAGATCCATATAACTGAAGATCTGTTATCTGAAGTGCTTACCTGACAGATTTGTTTACCAGAAATCCATTTATCATCAACACGACGGTGTTTTGTTTTGTTTGTTTTTTTTTAGTAGCACAGGCAAAATCTTTACAACAAATTTAAAAAGCTAATCTCGCTGGCCAAAACATCATCTAAACATTGCACAGAGTTAATACAAACACACCTTTAAATACCATTAGGCATCTTTTGAACAACAGTGCGCGTGTGGTATTGAGGATGGGAGCTGGTGAAAACTATTTGCTCGACACACATTTACAGATTTACAGACACGGGATGTCTGCATCATAGAATCATAGAATGGAATCGTAGAATGGCCTGGGTTGAAAAGGACCACGATGATCATCTGTGTGCAGGGTCACCAACCAGCAGACCAGGCTGCCCAGAGCCTGTATGATTAGGCTTCCATGTTCTGTTCATCTATTGCCTGTGTGACTCTAAGTGCTAGTATTATCAGAACGAGAATTTAGAAAGAATTGTTTGTAGTTATCCAGTGTAATGGACAACTATGTAAAAAGGGAATAATTTCAAATATAATATGAATAATAAAAAGTGAATGTTTTCGGATGAAGATCACCGAGCAGTGTGACGGATGGCTGCAAACACCACCGAAACACTTCATCCAGCAGCCAGCACGAGGGCTGTGGTTACGAATGCTCACTGGAATACTTCTCTGGGCCCACATTTATCACACACAGCACCGTATGGCTCCAGTCGTGTACCGCAGCCAAGTGAGACGCCTCGTTCTGCACACACAGTCCTGCTCTTAGCAAACTCCTCGTGTTTCCGTGTATAAATCAATCCAAACACCCGAGCTCCCGCTGAGGTCCTGCAGGGAATCGAAGAACAGCCACCGGCCAACGTAAAGAGCCGTGCTGATTTCTGTTCGGTCCTTCGGCTCGGTGACACCGACAGACAGACGCGAGGTGCGGGGCGTTACGTCCCTTTACCCCCAGCGGTCATCTGAATAACGCTTCACATAACAAATCTACCAAAGCCGACACCGAGACGGCTCAATCGCTGTACAGTACCCGAACGGGCGCTGCTTGCCAGTGTCACACAGGCACTGTGACACGCCCGCTGTTGCCCTTCAGGAGCCGCAACCCCGAGCCCGGCCTCTCACACGTACCATCTCGATGATCTTCGTCTTCCTGCCCGTCTTCTTCTTCATGGTGAAGATGTACTGTGCCAGCACCACGCCGCCCACCAGGGCGCACACGCTGGCGCTGGCCACCGCCCCCATTTTGGCCACGGCCGCGCGGTCCATGGCAGCACGCCGCCCCCAGCCCGCCCGGCGGGCGCGCAGCACGGGACCGAACCCACGCGGGGCGCTGCGTGCGGGCGGAACCACGAGCGCCAATGGGGGAGCGCGGGGGGACCGCGTGCCGCAGGGAGGCGAGCCGGAGCACGGAGAGAGGGCTGCGGGAACGGGGAGCGCCCACCGGGAGCTGAGGAAGCTCCGGAGGAACGCGGGCGAACCTCCTCCTTCCCCGCTTACCCCCGATCCCCCCCCCTCGGCGGGTGGAGGTGGGAGAACCCGGCGCGCCGGCCACACTTCCGGCGGTGCCGAACTACGTTTCCCAGCACGGCCGTGCCGCTCGTTGTCACGGCGACGGCGCCCGAGGTGCTGGAGGAGGCGGGGAAGGGGCCGGAGCGCCGCCGGCCTCCGCATCCCGAGGGCCGCCCCTGCCTGTGGCCGGGGGTCCCTCCGCTCGGTGCGGCTCCGCTGCCGGCTCGGTAAGCTCCCAACTAAGCTCCCAACGCTTCTCGACGCCCCTCATCCCGCTGTGATGGCTGCGGTTTGGGTTCGGGTTCTGGGGTCGGGGCGTCCGTGTGCTGAGCTGTGTGAAGGAGTAGGCACGAAGCAAGAAGGGTTCCGTCTGCGTGGAAGGGAACTCGTCTCCTCCAGAGCAGTCAGCCCTCAGAGAGTAAAAACTCTGCCCAGTGAGATGCCCGTCCCTGGAGGTGCTCAGGATGTGGCAGCTGAGCTGGTGGGTGGCAGCTCTGCAGAATTGAAACTGAATAGGCATTAGGATCACTTCCATTCTAAGCTGTTGTATGATTCTAGATCGTCCCCCCCCTCATCCCCCCCTCCCCCCGTGGTAGCTGCATCTTGTGCTCTGCATTACGAAGCGTTACAACTGAGGTTCGGCTCAGCCCCCCAAGCACAGGGAGCTGTGAGCTTTGAGCTGGGTAACGTTATGTCAGGCTGCCCGCAGAAGGATTTTTCTCCTCTTGCTTAAAATAGCAGCAGGTAAGGAACGGGAAAGCTGATTTGTGCCCTGTCTGACCGACTTCTTTGGGCACGTCACTGGGGCATCTGCAAGGCGATTACTCGCTGTAGGTTTTGCTGCTTTCTATGGCTTCGTTTGCTTTTCTAAAATAAGCTTGTGTGGAAGTCCACCATTGGAATCGTAGCATTGTTTCGATTGGAAGGGACCCTTAAAGGTCATCTAGTCCAGCTCCCTTGCAATGAACGGGGACAGATCAGAACATGCTTTTTTGTTTTCCTCCTTGATAAGGGAATCTCAGTTCTGTAACTTGGAAAACTTCTGATTTACCTTTTTAACACTCCTTCCTTTGACTTATAACGCTTTTTAAAAGATGTGGCTTTCTTGCTTTTCTTCTATCACAGTTATGCTATGAACTTGTGACAAGATGTTTTTTTTTTTTTAAGGACTCAACCAGAAACATCTGAGATTGACATGCATCCAGCTCCCACTAGAGCAACGTGAAGCTAAGAGGTGATATATGCATAGTGAAAGCTGTTGCTATTGGAAGAAAGGAGGCTTGTTTGAAGTGATGTGCATGTCAGCACAGGTTTTTAACAACAACTGGTTTCCTTTTCAGTGAAGAAGAATGTCGTTGTTTAAAGCTCGAGACTGGTGGTCCACTGTACTTGGGGAGAAGGAAGAATTTGATCAAGGCTGTCTGTGTGTTGCTGATGTCGATAATAGTGGCCAAGGTAAATCCAGAATTACTTGACTAATGACTACACAGCTGCAAGTTTGCTGTTACCAAAGCAACCTGCAGTGAAAACTTGTTAGCCAGGCTAATTGGCTAGTTAGTTTAATGTCTGCTATCTTTAACGTGTCTCTGTAGACTTGGTAAGACACATTCAATGCAATTTGTCTTTGTATATCCCTTCTAAACATGCGAATTCTTGCTTGTGTTCAGTAATAATTTCTCTCTTGTTTTGTTTTATCAGTGGTAGATATTTTCTTTAAAATGGCTCACCGAGTGCAACATAGGGAACAGAACATGGGAGTAAACACAGAAATTCATGAAAGGACTTATGGGAAAAAGTAGAAGAAAAAAAAAGGGGGGGAGAAAAAGGAGAGTGAGAGTTAATAAGGATGTGTTTTAAACAAACAAACAGCCTTTTGTGCCTGGAAAATATGAGGACATTGAAATAAGTGACAGAGTTAACCCTGCTGTTCTGTGTAGTCACTAATGAAAGTGAAGTATGGAACTGACATGATGTCTCTTTGAGGACATAACTACAGTAGTTTATGATCTTTGCTGTCAGTGAGAGTTCATGTTCAAATAATAAATATTTGGGAACTTCTTATTCAAGACTGTTCATCTGATTCAAGATATGTTTTTCTTTACTATGGGTTCTTGAGTTTGATTTTACTGCAGGCAGACTTTTCTTTCTCTTCCTTTTTCGGGAGAATTTGAGCTATGTTACTATTTTGTGTGACCTTTTTCAGTAAGAACTGACTGAAGGCATTACAGATTGAAACTTTTCTTTGTGGGAAAAAAGTGAAACTGATTAAAAGCAGGGCTTAAAGTGTTTTGTGGGAGAACTCTTGTATTTACTTCTAAGCATTATAGATTATAGAATGACTTAGATTGGAAGGGATCTTTTAAGATCCTCTTGTTCCAACTTGCCATGGGCAGGGTTGCCCCCCTCAAGATCAAGGTGCCCAGGGCCCCATTCAGCCTGACTTTGAACACCTCCAGAGATTGGGTGTCCTGTGCCAGTGTCTCACCACCCTTTTGAGTAAAGAATTTCTTCCTAACACCTAATTGAAATCTCACCTCTTAGTTTAAAGTCATTCTCTCTTGTCCTATCCTGTTAGACCATGTGAAGAGTTGATCCCCCTTATAAGCACCCCTTGTATATTGCTAAAGCACAACGAGGTCTCCTCAAAACCTTTTATTGGATTTGAGGTTTATTTGCATTTATGATAACGATGCTGTGTATATAAAAGAAAGAGGTACTGGAAATTCTTTTGCATTTTTTATAGTTATCATGTAAGCTGATTCTTTCATTTTTTTTTAATGAATAATTTTTGTTGCTAGTCTTTTAGTTGTTAGTTAATATTTGCATGTTTCAGATGCTAATTCCAGAAGAAGCACGATGTAGCTATTCCACTTCTTTTTGAAGTAAGTGTCTGTCTCCAAAAGCTGATCTCAAGGCCTTGTTTTCTTCTGTTGACCTGATGTAGTAAATATCTGTATTTAGTTTAGGTCTGCTGACATTTATCCAAATGCAGACACAAATTTTAACAGTTCTGCTGATGCTGATATGCATATACACAGATCCTAGATGTTGAAGCTAAAAGTTTGAAATATTAAAAACCATAATGTGATTTTTTTTTTTTTTTTCCAAGAAGTGTGAACATCAGTCTGAAAGTACAGAATGGTAACAATGGTTACTGTTACCACCAAGATGATTGCTATACTGCATCCTTTGCTGTCAGGTTTTACTGGGGGAGTAAACACTAAATACTGTTGATGTAGTTACTCTGACATAGAAGACAGAGCATAGTAAATGTTAATCAGGCCACGTGTATGGGAACTGTTGAGTCAAAGCCTGAACCACTGATTGATCACCTGGGGCAAGCACTGAGTCAGCCATGAGCACAGGTGAAGGCAATTCAGCTGTGTGACCGAAGGGGTGGAGCCTGGCTGCACCTCTCCTAGACCCCATTTAAGGGCTAACTGAGCCAGGGGAAGGGTCTCTTGCTGGAGATCCCTCCTCTGTGGAGTCTTTCCTGTGAGCCTATGTCTTTGAATACATGTGAGTATTCCTTCCTTGTTTGTTTCTTTTCCCACTTTCTCCACGGTAAGCTGTCCAGCTGTAACGCCACCTGTAATGCCATGTCAATGCCCTGTTGTTTTAGGGAATTCTTTGCAGCTCTTCAGAAGTAAAATTAATTCTACGTGTACTGTTGTGTTTTGTAATCTCATTTGGTTATTTCTTGCAGATAAGATTATTGTGGGCAGTTATATGGGATATCTCCGTATCTTTAATCCACATCCTGTGAAACCTGGAGATGAAGTGCAAGCTGAGGACTTGCTCTTGGAAGTGCAGTTACGAGAGCCAATACTACAGGTGGAAGTGGGCAAATTTGTTTCGTAAGTGAACAACAGCCTGTGTTGCTGATCACTATTTAAGGCTTAGATGTGGTTTTTTCTCATTTTGGGTGGTGTGGAATGTCTGTTTTGACCTAATGCCTAACTAGAGGAAGATCTTCCAGGTACTTATACTATTTTCTTGAAGTACTTAGAACAGGAGGGAAGTTATACTGAAGATCTTGGGGTATTAAGAAAGCATGCCAGTATTACTTTCTTGTAATTCCAGTGTCCCGAGATGCAATGTTGCCATTTGGAGGGCATTTGATAGAGAATTGAAGATCCTTAATGAATTTAGTAGAAATAAGTGGCCAGGTAGAGGAGAGAGACTGCTGAGATTTGGAGGAGGGAGAAGTGTTGAATTCCAAGTTTTATGACTTCTTCATTATTGTTTAATTCACTTAGTTTCCATGCAGCTAGTAAAAAAGTTTTTTTTTAAAAACAACTGATATGGCTGCTGAATAATATTTGTTTGAGAAAGTGATCTTCTTGTTCATTTAATTCTTTAAGGCTTGACAGCACCTTGTTTGGAAAGAATTTCAAGCTGACCAGGGAAAACAGTTGGCATGCTTTTTATGCATAAATCTAGGGGGAAAAATGTTCTGTAGCAGTTTGCCTTAATTTTGCAATTAGCTTCAAGCACTGAAGTGTATATTAAGGAAGACTAGTACTAGATTGTTTTAGGCTAGCATCTAGCTCTCTCAAACCTTAGGATCTTGCCAAAACCTGAAAGTAATCGTGATGTTTTACTTGAGTTTTTCCTCATGCATTTGACTTGAATTATATCTGAAAACAATACTTTTTTCCTCCCCGTTTATATTTTAATTTAATTTTTTTTTTACAGTGGTACTGAAGGACTTCATCTGGCTGTGCTGCATTGCCGAAGACTCTGTGTGTACGCTGTTTCAGGTTAGTTTACTGATGCATAGTATCTTGTGATTATTATAATTATTTTTTTTGAAGCACATTCTGAAGTTGGATTAGGTTAAATGCTAAACTCAGTATGTACAGAGTGTTTTCTCATCACCCTGAAGAGCTGCAGTCACATTCCCTTTCTCTCTCGTGTATGAAGAAGAGACATTAGGAAATATTTTGACATAGTTACTAGTGGTTAATAGATCTGGTGATGTGCTCAGTGCATGAGATGCTGTGTTGTGTATTTATAGTGGGTATAGTTGGAGACCTGCTTTACTCTCTCTGGTGTTCTAGTTACTCTCCCACAGGAAGATGGAGTTGATCTGACTTACTGAAGTCCTGGCATTGCTCACAGAGATTAGTTCTGAGTCTTAGCTTGTTTAGTGTCAGCTTATGAAAGCCTGAAGGATTTATCTGAGTAAAAGTGCTTGTGAATGATTGGCTGTCGTTACAATTTTCAAAGTAGGAGTTGCTGTTCAAGATACCGATGGTCAAATAGTTGTTTAAGGACAACTTATGTGAAACAATTCCTATAATTATTTCACAGAATTGAGTTGGAAGAGACCTTTAAAGGTCACCAAGTCCAACTCCTCTACAATGAACAGGGACATCTGTTAGATGTCTAGATAGGTAGAACAGGTTGTCAGAGCCTAGTCCAGACGACCTTGAACATTTTTACAATCCTTTAATAGACTTTTCATAATATGTAAGCATTCATGATCTAATGAATGCTCTATTATCTAAATATTTTATACTTATAAACAAACTCATTCCAAAAATGAAGATCACTACTTCTTTACGCTTCCACATCAAATTACTGTTTCATAAAGTGGAATTTTACTTGTTTTATACATGTTGTCATGTGTCAGTTATTCATACTGCAGTTTCATTTTAATCTCTCTCCTACTGGACAGATGAAAGCACCCTTCAAGGCTGATTAATATATAGTATAGGTATTGTATTACAGTCAGTATACACAGACTTTCTCTGTTTTTTCCTCTGCTGTTGATGTGTAAATACTTGTCAAGGCAGGGCTGTGTCTTCCAAGTCTGTCCCAGTGTTCTCCAGAATGTGGGCCTGCTTTCATGCAACCACTTAAAAACACTATTGGATTTGATTTGGAGCAGTTGCCTGGAAGGATAGCATAAGCTACAAATCTTCCCACTTTAAGATGAATGTTGAAATAATCCTTGTGTACCTAAAGTTAGGACAAAATGTAGCTTAGATCTCATTCACTCAAGAAGTTTTTTTTTCTAAGCTGATGTGACTGTTGTCAAAAATTTTTTTGCTTGCTGTTAGGATTCTCAAAGTGTTACTCTACTATGAGTAATTTTCCTTGGGAGTGGGTGGACTTTGATAACCAAAAGGTGAGCCTTAACTTCACTTTCTTCTAGTTCCCTGAAGAAGTCAGGAAATTAGTTCATGCAGAGAACATGAAGTGTAACAAAAATCATTTTTTAATATTATGTGTATGTGCCTCTATCTTACCAGTATTGATCACTGCACTGAGTTTCAGACTGAGTAAAGGCAAGTGATAAATGTAGACTAAATGTAATATATTTGTATTAAATATAGTTTATAACTGGCTACAGTTCAATTTGAAACAAGCTGAGCCTGCTTTGTTGGATATAATATATCCATTACTGACTGGAGAATAAGAATTGCACCTCTTTGAGTAGACTTTTTCTGATATTAAAGGTGTGCCTGACATGAATAAAATTATGGGTGAGTAATAAAATCTCAGCATCTTGCTGTTTCTGCCTTCAGCTTTTATTTTTTATTTTTATTTATTTTTAAACCAGTAGTGTCAACTCATCTCAAAATCAATAGGAGTAAGCGTTTTTCAGGTTGCTCTTTAAAATGGTAAACGTTTAACTGTATGGATCCGTGTGTTCTTGTTTACAACCTTGATTAATGCAATCGTGTATAATTTTTTCCAGAAACTCTGGGGAATGTAGAACATGGTAACCAGTATCAGATTAAACTGATGTATGAGCACCATCTTCAGCGAACTGCTTGTAATATGACTTATGGACCATTTGGTGGTGTAAAAGGTAAGTTCTTTGCTGCACACTGTTCATTGTTTGTTTACTTGTGAACAGTTGGGGATTAGCTTAAATTTTGAAAGGTGTTGTGCTGCTGCTGTCTAGAGGAGACTGTATTTCTAAATGATAATGTAATTTCTCTGATGCATAGAAAAATAAGTTAAAATGAGGCAAAGAGTATTAAGTACAGAACAGTTGTTGTATTTTCTTTGTCTTGAGCAAGTAATGAGCTTATGAGGATAGAATTGATGGAGGGGGAGGGGGGATAACAAAGAAAAAAAAAACCCTGACATTGAAAGTATTTGCTTTTGTCTGTGCTTTAATTCTGTTTTGCTTTTTGGCAACTTTCTTATTCTAGATGAAGAACAGTCAACACTTCTGTACTCTGATCCTAAAATGCATCGTTAAAGACATATATAATGCAGTCTTACAAAAGAAAACAAACAAAGCTAAGATTGGAAAATGTAACAGTGGGAAGTAATTGTTGGGCTACTTTTAGTTTGAAATATATATTTTAGTCTTTGAACTTCTGTGATTTTTTTTTTTTAATTTGGAAACATTTAGATTTGCTCTTCATGCATTACTTTCTGCATGTTTTCTTAGAAGCATTGTGAGATAGTGGTCATCTGCACTAATAATGTTTCTATGCTTCTCAGCCTAATGCCACTTCAATAGGCAAAAAGCCTTCTGAGATAATATGTCAAATTTAGTCAGAGAACCTCTCAGTTCTGTAGCTGTAATTTTCCAGTAATAATCCTGCAGTGCCTTACCTTAAAGTCAAGCTTGTCCCTGGGAGAGAATTCAGCTGATACCAATTTATACTGATCAAAGATACTTTTTCCTGCTAATTTTACCCAAACACCTTGGAGAAATGTGTGACTTAAGTCATTAGAATGAGAAGGTAAGCAGTATTGTGGATGTTTTGAGGAGTGAATGTATAGGGCACAGACATATCTGTGTTCTCATCTAAAAGAGATACTGATTTTTCTTAAACAAAAAAACAAAAGAAAACCCACAACTGTGAGGAAATTATAACTAGATTCTTGACATTCTGCAGTGGAACTGCAGTAATGGATGGATTGAGGGATTATAAGCTAAGGTTATTAGTGATAAGACAAAATATCCATTTATTCTGCAGAACTGCATGGTGGTAAAATCTCTGGGTTTTTGTGCCATGTATGTTAGTTTACTGTAGATATGCAGCAGCTCATACTTGATGTTGGATTTATCTTATAAGATAGCTTATCAAAGCTGTGTGGGATGCAAATCAGATAATGAGGAAAAGACCTTTGCAAGCTGGGGAAACCAGATAATGTTTACCTCAGAACCTACCAAGCCAGCCAAACACTTTCTAATTCCTAAGAGGGTCAAACCAACAGTGACTGCTGACAGAAAAAAACTCAGTAGGAGCAGCAAAGGGAACTCCAGTGTGTTCTGTAGATTTCTCTTATTTTCTAGTAAGACTTTCTTTCCCAGCTTGTCAAAACTGCCCTCCTTTTCCTTTATTTCTCATGTTGCAGTTTGCCTTAGTGTAATCATTACTGTGGGGAAAGATTGGCTCAAGTCTTGTTTTGATGTGGCAAATGTTAATAAAGAATGAAGACAGACATATTTTTGTTAGTAATGACTAATCCCCATTACTATCATGAGATAAAGAAGCTTTAAGGCCTAAATCTAGGAAAAGTATATTAATTTGTTATCAGGCACCTGAACATTCTCTGAGGCAGGTATTAAAGCAACAGAGAAATAGGTGAAGTGGATACTGGAAAATGGACTCGATTTATGTGGCTTTTATGTGCATTTCTTGGATTTAATATCTTTCTTTGTTGGTTTAATTGAAAATCTGACTAGATTTCTTGTCAAGGCTGTATATTTAGTATGTCCTAGCCTGGACGATACTGAATCTGGTCTGTATGTTGTTTATTTTGTTAGTGTAACATCATTAAGTATCCCATTCTCTACTTGAGGGTTATGAGTGATAATGTCTGTATTTTGCATCTTGGATGACCAACCAAAGTGAATTGGTAGAGTGGTCTACCAAGTGCTGTTAACTTTAGTAACTGGACAGATGCTTGGCCTGGCCTGTTTTGTTGTCTGTATGTGTCTTTGGCAGATGTTCTGTGCTGTGGTTGAGCTATCTGCTGTATAAATAAAGACATTTGTTTTGACTGTGTGACTTCCCACAATTCTGCATTTCTTGCTGGGTATTTTTCTAACAATCTATATCACTGACAGGGAAGGTTAATTCATAATGGTGTAAGTGCTATAAATGTGCAGCAGTGAGCCTGCATTGCAGTTTGTGCTCTATATCATGCTCTAGAAGAAGTGAACTAGCTGAAGGGTTTTTTTGTATTTATTGCCTTCTCTGTTACTTGTGTAGCAAATGGGTATCTTTTCTCATTGTTGTATCCTTGAAACAATGAGAAGCTGAAAGAGGCACTTTGGAGGTTGTGTTTACAGATCTACTGAAGCAGATAGGGGAGAAAGGCAATTGAGCAGAACGAGTACAAGGAAAGCAGGCTGTGGGAGTGTCGAGGAGGAGGCGAAATGTAAATCCCCCCCAGGAACATAATCTTTCATCTGAGGAAGCAAAGAATTCTGCAGGGGGTGACAGAACACTCAAGCTGTGGAGTTGCTCGGTCTTGGTTAGGTTTCTCTTGCAGAAGACAATGCTGTGGGTTTTTTAATGTGGAAATCCTATTTCTATACCTTTCATGGGGAAGGGTCATTATGTGCAGCCATAGTGGTTCAAGGTGGCAAAAGAAAAAAATCAGTTTTTGTATACTGGTTTGCACTGTTGTCCTGTGACTCCTTGACTCCTTTCTTTGTACTAGCAGTTCTTTGCATACCTAGTTAACACTGTTTTATGTGGCTTCATTCTTTTGTTATTGTTGTTCAATTCCTTCCAAGTAGTTGCTTGTCAATTTAATAGGAACTGAAGAAAATGACCACTTTGCTACTGCTGTCTCATACCTCAAATAAAATACCTCTTGGCATTCAAGTTTCTGCTGTAATGATTTATAATCTGATTTCCACTCATGTGCAGAGCCTGTGCTGTCCAGCATGTGTGTGCTGCTGTAGCTGTGGCCTTAACTCAGATGCAAAGTGCTCTGTTAGTCTCTTGATGCTTTAAGATTGCAGTCAGTTTCTTTAACTTTGTGAATTGCTGAAAATCCTGCAGTTCCTGTTGGGTCCATTCAAAGGTTGTAGAGACAGATTTGTTAGATTTGTTTGGACCAGAAAGCGTTTGTTTTTAATTTTTCTGGTTGTATTGTTGTGCAGTCTGCTCTCCTAGTTTACAAAAAGTGTAGCATCTTTGGGGATAAACTGCCTGACATTTTTCTTATGGGTGTTGGTTGACCTGGAAACCTAGCAGAGCTTTATAGAAACTAAGCAGAATTGAGCTATTAGAAGCAAGTACACTACTGCTGTTTCATGGTTCAATTTGGTTATGAAGTTTCACCAGGACTCCTTCTGTTTTTTGGAGTTAAACATTTGCTTACTCTGCCTGTGCATATTATTAGGGAGTAGGATTTCTCACAGCTTTTGTTAATGTGGTATTTGGGGAAGGACATCTCTGCAGTCATTTGAAATGTTTAATGAAAGAATTAAAATCCACTCACTAATTGTGTATCACATATTCCCAGTCAGTTTCTTCCAGTTAAGTTTTGTTCTCCTGTCCCTGCTAGTTTGCATCAGTGTACCCGTGTTGTGTTACGGTTTGATCTGTTCATCTGCTGGTTTGTTTAGGTGAGAAGTGATGGAGTTATAATACATATGGGTAAACTGTTATTTCTTGATTGTGTTTTTTTTTTTTGGTCTTCTGTATGCATTAAGGAAAACGCTATTAGAGACTCCTCTGCTGAAGAGAGAACTGTGAGATGAGCAGAAAGCAACCTGAAAGGATAGCTGCTAGCAGCTTCATTGATGGTGGCGTTTTCAAATTAAATGTTTTTTAAAATGGTGTATGAAATGTGGCTCAGTGACCACTAGATGGTCCTCTCCTTACAGCTATTGGTTACTAGGCTGTGTCTCTGCATCGGCCCTAATACTTTTACCAATTCTACAGGTGTATCTATTGCAAGACTAAATGTAGTGTAGGAAATACAAAAGCACATTCTGTGAACCTTATTATGTTTTTTTTAAACTAAAACAGAAGTATTCTGTTGGTTGCAGAACTTTGATAAAAAAGGCAAAATGAACTTCTATCTTCCAGCTAAGCTGTTAAGGTGCCAGGGAGTGGGAAATAAAAACGAGGAGATTCCTTGTGTGTTTAGCTAGTCTTCTAAACAGAACTAGTAGAAATGGCTTAAAAACATGAATGGAAACAAAACAGAACCTGAAAGGAATCAAATATAATTTGATCTAATTGTAGGCACAGTTAGTTGTCTGTTACTTAGTGTGTGGAAAGCTGTAACAAAGAGGGGTTGTATTGTAGAGCTTTCTTTGCACTTCTTTGATGCTTTAACTTTACATTTGTTTCTTGTTGTCTCAACACTGGTACTAAAATGAGAACTGTTAATATGACTTGGGAAGATCAACTAATTATTCTGTGCTTAAAAAAGACTCTGCCATCTTTAGCCCAGACTTGTAAAAACTGACTTGATTTTTTTCATTACTTTGCTATGTGGAATGTCTGTACTCTTGTTATCGTAGAGCTGTAAATTGAGTTTCTTCTGCAATGACCTTGTTCTAGCATATGGATCTTCTTAGGATAATTAATGATAAAATTATGGAAGCTAGTGCTGTTTTTTTGTTTTTTTTAACTAAGTGAACTCTTAAGCCAGCCACAAAATGTCACAGCCCTTAAATAATGAACAGATTCTTATGATCTATTTTAATTGAAATATAAGATTTCAAAAACATGAGGTGACTCTAAGCTTTTATCTGTTGGAACAAAATGAAATTGAGAAAGTGGCATGTGCTTTTCTATGATTTGTAGAGGACTCAGTCTAGAGAAAAGATTTGTTCTGTACAGCCTTTCTAATCATATAACATGAACTGTCCTT